AAAATACTTTAAAGTTCGTTTATGGGTTCGGTATTGGTGGATATGAAGTAAAGTTGCTTGAGAAAGACTTTTCGTTAGAGCACGAAAGGTGATTTCTTATGCAAAATTTTGAGACATCTGCGATCACGTGAAATTTTAGTTTGTAAAATAAACCATTATTTAATCAAAGCTGCTTTTTCTACATCTTGTCCTTATTCTAACATGAAAGAACCTAACTCCAACCATTAAAAGTGGGCTATCTATAAAAACTTATATGGTATAATTTTCCGTGAGATGGCAAAATTATCGCGTCCACGATTTCGCGAAATAAATCATTTGATTAGGAAAATTTTGATATCCTAAAATGATAAATCGAAAGCATTACGTCGTTACTATAATAGACTCTAATGATCTCTAACAATTACAAATCGGAAATACTACATAATTCATCATTACGATTTGCATCATATGCTTATACTAATCACAAAATAAATCACGACAATACGATCATTCAAATTTATACTTCATGCTCGTTTCGAGACAAAATTTTACTCCAATACTTTCGTATCAGGCAGCTAATAATTTGGTTTAAAATAACGCCATGCGTCCCGAAATAACGCGTACTTCATAAAAATTTTGCTCATGTTTTTAACTTTCATAATAAAATACTTGTACATGTTACCGTGAGGAATCTTTTCGGTTATCGTATGCAATTTTTAGTTAATCGTGAAGAATCACTATTACAATAGAAGAAATTCGCACATTATCATGCTTAGATATTATCGTGAAGGCCCTTTACGATTAGAAAATTTTATTATTCAAAATAACGGGTAGATGCCCGTTATTTCAAGAATTTACGGTAGTTATGAAGTGTGTATAATAATTTTTAGCATTGAAAAGTAATTGCAATCTTATTTGGTGGCAATATGGTATATTGACAATGGAAAGCTAGGGATATTACGATCCGTTCCGGTCCAGTCTTGGTCCTAAAGACCGGTATAGTGTTATGACAGGGGAGAGACTTTGCGATGGTCACGCCAATTTAGGGACAGGTCATAAAAATTATAAGGTAAAGAGATCGATTTATTTTGTATTGAGCGAAAGAGAGTTTTTCTTTATTTACCATAACTCTATTTATAGTTATTCTAATAGGTTCAAATTAGTTTATGCAAAAATATAGTCATAGTTTGTAATGCTAGACTACTACAACGATATATATATAAAAGTATGACACTAATTAATTATGTCGTCATTTTTTTTTTTATGGACAGGTTCAGACCGGTCCGGACCATGGTCTACTGAAAGGTCACTGAAAATCACTAGAAGTCAAAATTAATAATATCTGTAGAATGTTTACTATTAATAAGCTTTATTGGTCAAAATATACATATAATATTAACATGAGTGATGTCGGATTCAAAATTCCCTTTTTGTGTGTGACATTACAGCATTATGAGACTAATATTCAAATATGCTATTCATCGAGTCAAACTTTTACTTATATTTGCATATTAATTAGCG